ATTGTCAGACACATTTACTCGAGTTAGTAATGGAAGAACGAGTAGTAGCGTGATCGTGAGCTAAAGCCCTTGGGGTACGGAGGGACTTATTGTCAATTTGTAGCTTAGATTTTGGACCATACAAACAAGGAGAACCGCAAGCCACGAGGGTCCGTACCTCTGCTCGTATACTCCCGTCGGGTGTTTCTGCTTTCGTCATCTCCAGTCTACAGGCTGCGAGCTACGGAGCTAATGGTACTGTTCCAGAGAACAGAAACAGACAGAGCAATGGCCAGTCAATGACATTATTATTATTATTATTATTATTGTTATTGTTATTATTATTATTATTATGAGTTGTACATTATCGCACATTACTCGACTCTTACTCTGCGTACCCAAAAGTTGCTCAGAGGTACGCGCGTAGTTTTCACATTAACTAATTTTCTGTCCTGCTCTGTGCTGGAATTGGACTAGGCAGGATAGGACACTGCCCTGTGATGCGATGCTATGTGGGAATACATACTGAATACTTGGTTCCCTGTATGTCCCTAGTGCAGGGCTCTCTGGCACTGTGCTATCTCTCCCTCAGTTCCAGAGCCAGAGCCAGAGTCAGTGTAGCCAGAAGAGACACGAGGGGAAAGAAGAATTCAACCCAACCGAGTTGAGGGTGCACGATCAATACTCCGCCACGCCTCGCGCCAACGAACCATCGTCGTAGGATATACCCTCTATACATACTCGTGGAACTTGACTTTTCTCTGAAAAATACCACTTGTATTACAACACTTTCTATTGAGATTCATTCCTTTGGTCAATGACATTGTCATTCAACCATCTATTTGTATTGTAACAATTATTAATTTTGGTTTTGTTTGTCGAGATCTTTCGAGAGTTGCGGTGGTAAAAATATTTGTTGAAAAAATTATTTTTTACTTTAAGATATTGAAATTTAAAATTTTTTAAATTAATAACTCTTATCAAATTTTATAAAAAATATTTTCATTAAAAAAAAAAAAAAATTAATTTTGCAATAATAATATTTTTACTATTATAATTTCTATATATTTTTTTTAAATTAAAATTTAATAAATAATAAAATTTTTAATTAAAAATTTTAAATATTTATTGATTGATAAATTTTAATAAGTTTGTAAAAAATTGACAAGGACTTAAAATCAATTTAATAATAGAGACACTGATTAAAGATAATGAAGACCAAGTACATAAGAAGTTTATGACTTTTTTTTTGAGATGTAAAAATTGTAAAAAATTAATTGATAATCCAAATTAATTTTAAAATTAATAATCTAATAAATTAAAAAAAATTCTTTAAATATTAGACCTTTAATTATTTTGAAAAAATCAAAAGCTCATTAATTTTAAAATAATTATAATACACAGAAAAAAAGGTTCACTTATAAAATGGGTATCTAATATTCAAGAGAAAAATTTTCTCAAGGTGAAAAAATTTTTTCTTAGCTGAAGTAGGTCGCGCTGCTTCCCTAAAGTATCTAAAAATCTTGATCTAATATAAAAATTTATTGTATCAAGTATTTATGATAATTTGAATTAAGAAAAAATGACTTCCACCAAGAATAGAATTTCAAGAAAAATTTTTAGTTCGACCAATACAACTTCGGTCTTCCTTCAGGCACCCGAAAATTTTCTTGAGCAAAGAATTTTATTTTCTAGTCAAGAAATTTTTCTTTCTGTATACTAATATCGACGTTCTAATTAGTAAATTGTCTAACGATTGTCTAACGATGTACGAAAAAAACAATTAGTTCAAAATTCATTATCACTTTAAAAAACCATTTAATATCATTATTATCTATTAGAGATATAATATTTAGATTTGAATCATTCAAATAATTTATAATTCGATTATGGCTACATCAAAATGTTAAAAAAATCACCCTCTAAAAAATATGAAGTTAGACAAATTACTAATTAGACCGTCGATATAAATGTTAAAAATAATAATGAATTGACAAAATTTCTACAAGTTCTATTTACAAAAGCTTGACACGGACTTCCAACAAAATAAATACAACCACCGATGAAAGACAATGACGACCAAATAAACAAAAAAGTTTGGAAAATCCAAAAGTGCACGCCTCATAATCTCATTTTTTAAAATAAAATTGATTAAAATAAAATATAAAAAGCAAAATAATAAAAAACAGAAAACACTGCTATGGTTTAGTGGCGCCATAACTGCGAGGTGAGGAAAAAAAATACTATAATAAAATGTATAGATAGAAATACAAAAAAATCCACAGTCATATATTAGTTTTTTATAAATAATAATTTAACGACAATGAATTGAACGCTCATATTAACTAAGAAATTCTGTCGTGTGTTACTTTAGATAATTAAAAAAAAATTATTCCGGTACGATCATTTTTTCGACCAATTTCCCTGCCACATACACCCATTCATACACGGACGTCCAAAAAAGATTATGTTTAATGTTATTATTTATTATGTTAAACAAAAAAATTGTTATTGAAATATATTTTATGTGCCTGAAAAATTATTTGACTTGACATAAGTGTACTCATTTTAACCTGTAAGTGCGATATAAATAACAAAAAATCAATTTCAGTTTCGAGAAAACTGCTTTTTTCGAAATGTCGAGAGTAGAGCACAACCTCAACGCTTCGCTTATGAGGCGTGCAATAGAATTACTTGTAGCATTACAGGATATTTGTGGGTTTGTCAAAGATCGAGATATGCAGATAAGAGGTTATTTACGGCGGTATTAGTGCGGAGGGTATCTCCTGTGCAGATTGTGCGGGTGCACTCTAATGACATTGTGTTCACGTGGGAATGAAACGAATTGGTGAAGAGGAAAATAGATGGATCTGGATAGAGGGACTAGAATGAACATATAGAATTCAAAGAGAGAGTACCGAGATAATTTTCTTGTCTCTGGATGTGTATCTCTGGTGAGTCGCTCGAACGCGTGCGAAAACGACCAAGAGTCAATGTGAGTTGGTCGTAAATTGAGGTCGGAAATGTCGAGGGGGTTGCTTTTGATTAGGCGCAAGCGCAACTTTATGTCACGCTGGATGTGTGGAGTAGAGGGCCGATAATATGAGTACATAGGTAGGCAGATATCTGTATGTACATTGAGGTACTACATGTGGGTGTACTAAACTTCGGAGGATTTATTAGTAGTTGTAGAATTGTGTATAATAGGACGTAACCGGTGAAAGAAGGGTGAAGAGACAGGGATAGGATTCTATTCGATTGGAACCGAGGAGGTGCGAGGGAGAAATGTTAACCACAGCCGATTGTCGCCGGCCTCAATAATAAACGTGGAAAATCCAATTGATTTCCACACGATTCTTCTTAAATAATTGCTTTTACTTTCGCATTAGCTGCGCACGACACACACCATTATCGTGCTATCGGATTTCCAGCTGCCCTGTTATTTATGTGTAATTCTAGTAAAACGATACTCTTACTATACTAATTTTATCGATTCCATCCATCAAATTTACACTTTTTACAGTGCAATATTACCTTGCGACCCTGTAAATACAAATGAGAACCTTTATTTTTAAATTAACTCATTACAAGTTCAACTGGGCGTTAAACTAATTATTATAGCAATTAGATTTCAAACTCATTCATTATGAAATCCAATACCGCACGCACGTGGTGACACGTGCAATAAATCGATACCGACTGAATTAATTAATGGATCTTCACTGCACTGAAAAAAAAATTAACTTGAATCAAGAGGAAATTTCTTAAACCAAGAATCTAATTTTGAAGAGGGTAATTGTCTTGAATCATGACGATAAATTCTTGAATTAAGTAAAATTTTCTTAAATCAAGAATTTTTCTACTCAAGCCAAGAATGTTGAGCTCTTCAAAAATATATACTTGATTCAAGAACATTTTTTTTTCTGTGTAGAATCAAGACGAAAAATTCTTAAATCAAGTAAAATTTATTTAAACCAAGTAAAAATTTATTAGTTTAAGAATTTTTTTACTCAAATTAAGAAAATGAAGTTCTTCAAAATTATATACTTGATTCAAGAACATTTTTTTTCTGTGCGGGAATGTAATCGAGCAATTACCGGTGTACCATGACAGTGTTTTACCAACAAACACAAATAAAATAAAAATTTATGTCAAAGCACACTTGCTATCATCGTTATATATCTTCGTTAAAAATTCACGACTGTCCACGAGTCGAATATCAGCGAAGGCAGGTTAACAAAAGCCGGTCGGGAGTTAGCCAGTAAACAAATATATACTAGGTTTTTTTTTTTTTTTGTAATAAATCTACCGCAAACCCGGCAAATGTCAACGAGAAGAAATAAATGAATTAGTAAATGGAGTAATTAGTTTTTAATTTCAGAATGGTAAGTTAACCTGTCACAGATCGATGCGTCGTCTACGTAGCTCCCTCTTTTTTTTTTCTCAATCCTCTTTTTTACATTATATTACCGAGCTACGGGTTATTTATAAAAATAAATAAACAACTAGTTATTTGATTAGTTAATTACTCTGATATTATTAACATAACTTTTTTTGCCATGCTCATCATATGCCTGTACATCAGTTAATAATTAATTGGAATTGTCAATTATTATTGACGTGATAAGTATGTACCTGCTGAAGTATAAAATGTTTTATTATATAATTAAATTAAATTAAAATAAAAAAAAAAACTCACCTCGTTGACGTTTTGCGGATCCTCTTGGTATTGACTACCAATGAATGGTAATCTTGGGTGGTTATTATTTTTTAACTAAAATAGTACTTATTCAAGTATGTACATGTAACATATAACATATAATAGCATGTATATAAATATATTTATATATATAGATATATATGAAGTATGTACATATAGATGTGTATGTGTATATATTATTAATTTTATTATATGTTCTTCACAATTGAAAACCTCAACACTGACAACAAACCGGCAATAATAGTACTAATTAAAAAATTTAGATATATAAATAAATAATTAAACTCAGTCACTGTAAAACATGCTGGTAGTAAGTAACTTTAAAGAAATAACCGCACTCGCTCAAATTCACTTGCACCAACACTCAATGACGTCATTACACGGCCGGACAGCAAAACTAGCAACATGGATTCCCGTCGCGGCACGAGCACGACGACGACAGCGCGAACCGGCTTCATACGGACTGTAAAACTTTAACGGCGCGCTCTACCGGAAAACAATCCAATTACAATTGTTTTGATTTTGTATTTTTGGTTACGCGTAACTAGCCTAACAATTATTTATCTCTAGTTTATTTTGTAATTTAAATTAACAATGAGTTTAGTATTATTATTATTAACTATTTTAGTTTCAGTTTCTAATATTTATTGCAGTATCGATGTTGATACGAATGGATACATCGCGTACTGTCCTTGCATGGGTAATTATTATCATTTTTAATTTACAATTTTTTTTTTTAATAATTAATTTTTTATTTTTATATAAAAAATTATTTTGACAGGTCGGTTTGGAAACCAAGCTGATCATTTTTTAGGAGCTTTAGGTTTTGCGAAAGCAATTAACCGGACATTAATTTTACCACCATGGGTCGAGTATCGCACCGGAGAAATAGGATCCGTGAGTAAACAATAATTATTTTTAAATTTAGATGCTTTTACAGTCACAATTTATAAAATAATACTAATGAAAATTAAGTTAGCCGACATTTAAAAATTTTTAGAATTTTTTTTTATTGAAAAAATGATAACGAAAAAATAAAAAAAAAATTTCACTTGTAAAAAACTTCAAAAACTATAAGTGCAATTTTTTAAAAATATTTTTTAGGTATAATTTAATAAATTAAACAAAATAAAAAAATCAAAAGTGTCGGCTAACTTTATTATTATATAATACTAAAGTTAGCCGACGTTTTTGATTTATTTTTATTAATTAAATTAGAACTTAAAAACATTTTTTAAAAATTGCACTTACAGTTTTTCAAGTTTTTGAATGATGAAATTTTTTATTTTTATTTTTTCGTGATAATTTGTTAAAGGAGAAAAATTGTACAAATTTTTCGATGTCGGCTAACTTGATTTTCATATTTAAAAAACTAAAGTTAGCCGACATTTATAATTTTTTATTTTTTTTTTTTTTTTTTAATAAGTTGGAACAAAAAAATATTTATTAAAAAATTGCACTTAAAGTTTTACAATTTTTTTACAAGTGAATTTTTTTTTTAAATTTTTTTCTATAAAAATTTTCAATAAAAATAATAGTAAAAATTCATAGCTGTCAGTTAACTTAATTTTCACTCACAATTTTTGCTAAGAAAAATTAATATTATTTATTATAATTATGTTACAGTTTTTTTATGGTATTTTTTATTCTGTACGAACATTTTATGTAACTTTTGTTTGTGATAAAATTAAAATAAACTTTTCAAAAAAAAGTAAACAATGATACTGAAATTACCTGACATCTTATGACTTTTAAGATTTTTTTCGATAAATAAATTTCTATGTAAAAAATTTTACTTGTACTTAGATGTGTCAAAAAATTATTGTTGTAATTTTTTTTTAATAAAAATTTATTTTTTCTAAAGACAGATTTATGCTAATTTCAGTTTCATGAGTAAACAATTGTTGATAATTGATAATTTAATTGTTAAATTACAAATTTAAATTTGTATTACAGAAACAAGTGCCCTTTGACACGTACTTTAATGTCACAGAAGTGAAAAAGTGTCATAAAGTAATGTTGATGGAAGAATTCATGACTGAACTGGCGCCAATTATTTGGCCATTGTCTGAAAGGATATGTAAGTTGATAATAAATGATATTAAAATTAACCGACGTTCAACAATTTTCGATTTTTTTTTATTAATTAATTTAGAACAAAAAAAAATATTTTTACAAAATTGCACGTACAATTTTTAAAACTTTCTACATGAGAAATTTTTTCAATGAATTTTTTTTTTAATTTTTTCAATAAAAAAAAAATTCAAAAAATTTTTAGATGTCAGCTAACTTTATTGTCATTAATAATAATAAATAATAATAGTTTTATAACCAATCAATTGCTATAGAAAAAAGTATTTTAAAAAATTCACACTTAAAATTTTTAAAGTTTCTACATGTGGTATTTTTTTGCTAAATTTTTGTCATTATATTTTAATTGTTATTAAAATCTAAAAAGTTTTTAGATGTCTCTTGAGTTCAATATCAATAATACTAAAGTAAACCGGCGTTTTTAATTTTTTGATTATTTTTCATTTATTAAATTAGAACTAAAAAATATTTTTAAAAATTGCACTTATAGATTTTCAAGTTTTTTACAAATGAAAATTTTTTTAATTTTTTCGTAATGATTTTTTCACTAAAAAAAAAATTAAAAAAATTTTTAGATGTCGGCTAACTTAATTTTCATTCAATTGATAATTATTTAATCAACATATATTGATTAACTTGTTAATTTATTTTCAATAAAGCGTTTTGTTACTCATCTCGTGGTAACTCGGAATCATGCAACGCGAAGGAAGGAAATCCTTTTGGACCATTCTGGGACAACTTTAACGTCGACTTCGTCGATTCTGAATTTTACGGACCATTCCACTACGACGTTCACCACACAGACATCGCCAGTCAGTGGCGGAAAAAATACCCCGCGGTATCCTGGCCAGTTTTAGCATTCACAGGAGCTCCAGCCAGCTTTCCCGTTCAATTGGAGAATAAAAGCCTCCAGAAGTGCGTCGTATGGAATGACGAGATGCTCAATAAAGCTAAGAAGTTTGTCAAAGGATCTTTACCTCCTGGTGCCTTTGTAGGAATTCACTTGCGCAATGGAATCGATTGGGTAACTTCAAACTTCAAATAATTTAATTGAATTTAATTATTTTATTGCAATATTTATTAATTTTTTTGCAAACTAATCCAGGTACGAGCTTGTGAATTCATATCGAGCTCTCCGAATCTCTTCGCAGCAGCCCAGTGCCTTGGTTATCGGAACGAGCGTGGCAAAGCCACTGATTCTATGTGCCTTCCGTCATTAGAAGTGATTCTCAAGCACCTGAAACGAGTTATCAGAAACGGAAAGAACATAAAAAGCGTCTTCGTCGCCTCGGACAGCAATTACATGATCGAAGACTTGACCAACAATCTGTCGAGAATGAATATCAGCGTACACAGACAGCCCGAGCCGGCTTCTCCTCATCTAGACCTCGCGATTCTAGGTCGCTCGAATTACTTCATCGGGAACTGTATTTCTTCCTTCACGGCTTTCGTTGCTCGTGAACGTGAGGTCAAAGGATATCCAACATTTTTCTGGGGCTTTCCTCCTGAACGACCTGCTACAACTACTCCACGCACAGAGTTGTAATTTAATTTCTTTCGTAACATTTTTTATGACATTAAAGTTAGCAGTCAATTGACCATTTTTTTTTATTTTATTTAACAAAAAAATTATTTTCTAAAAAATTGCATTTTTTATTTATTTAAACTTTTATGTCAATTTTTTTTTCCATAATTTATTTGTTACAAAAATTTTTTAAATTATCAAATATCTGCTAAATTAATTTTTTTTTTTATTTATTTTTTTTTTACTCAATAAAATTTTTTTAAACATTAATAATTTTTGTAATTTTAAAAATTAAAGTAGAAATTTTATCGACGAAAAAAATATCAATATAAGTACATTCGAGCGTTTATTATCTCAGAAATAAACTTCGGGTATCTTCGGCTTCCATTTCCCCTTAGTTGTAAATTATTCGGGTCGAAATCCGAAGTAAAACTCTGAGTATGGAGTATATTCAGGTCTTTTCTGTACTTGTTGCCAAGTGGAGAGGTTGATGTTGGAATTGTCCCACCGTTGGTAAAGATGTAAGTATTTTTTAATTATTATTGACAATAATAACAATAATATTATGATGATGTTTATAAATATTAAAGCCACACTGCTAGATAGATTAATTAAGGCGCAGCTAATAATTTAAAGTTGAAATAACAAACTAATTTCTTAACAATTATTTATAGAATTTTTTGTGAGTGGGAGAGAGAAAGTAGATAAAAAATAAACGTGTCAAGACATGATTTAATACTTCAACGTTATTACTATACCTACTGCACTGAAACCATGTAAATACACAGAAAAAATTAACTCGAATTAAGAGAATAATTATTGAAACACGAAAATTATTTTAAAGAGTTTTATTGTCTTAAATGGCCTTTGGCCATAGGCCGATAAGTATAGTGAATCAGCCCCAGAAAGATATCTGGCTTATAATTTCAGGGTATGTTGGTACTTATAAGATACTTCGATACTGCAAGTTTCAGCTCTTCATCTAATACCGTTTTCGAGAAAATCGAAAAAAGCTGAAATTAAGAAAAAAATGATTTTCTCAGAAACCCGTCAGCCGATTGATTTGAATTTTTAATATGTTTTGGGGGATGATGGTAGCTTCTAGGAAAAAAATTATGAGCTATATTGGTTCATAAGAATAACCTCGAAAAAAATGACGTTTTTCTTTTAATTTAAATTTTTAACTATGATAGAGTTCTGGCACAATTATGAAACTATTTTTTTTTTGAATTCCTCATCCAATTTCCTGTGGAATTATGACTTTTAAGAATATTAATAAAAGGTGCGCCGTGTTGAAAAAA